TCTGAGAATCTCACCTACCGCCTGCGGAAGAACGTTTTTCAGACTATCCTTCGCCAGGAAATTGCCTGGTTTGATGATAAGGAAAACTCCACTGGGGCGTTATGTGCTAGGCTTTCACAAGATGCGGCCAGTGTAAATGGCGTAAGTGGAGAAACTTTATCTTCATTATTTCAAGCAAAAACTAAAACTTTATAATCTTAATCCACAGGCCACTGGTTCCCGCCTGTCCGTCATCGCACAGATGATCTCCATCCTCGCTGCAGGCATCGTCATGTCGATGTACTACAACTGGAAACTAGGTCTCACCGTCATCGTTTTCATCCCAGTACTCATCGTCGGAGTTATCATTCAGATGCGCGTCCTCATGGGCATTCAGAGCAGTAAGAAAAAGGTGACAGAGGAGGCGTCAAAGATCGCCGTCGAGGCAATTTCCAACATTCGCACAGTGGCCTCGCTGCACCAGGAGCTCGCCTTTTGGATGAAGTACGAGCACGCCCTGGCCGCCGACTTTCGCAAGTCTCGCTGGGAGGCGCACATCAAGGGCATCACCTTTGGACTCTCGCAGGGCGTCTTCAACTTTGCCTACGCCGTGGCGCTCTTCTACGGCAGTCGTCTCATCATTAGCGACAACCTTGACTACGGCAACCTCTTTAAGAGCACTGAGGCGGTCATCTTTGGCACGAACATGATCGGCCAGGCGGTGGCCTTCTCTCCCGACTACCAGAAGGGCAGAATGGCCGCTGTGAGCATCTTCAAGCTGCTCGACCGAGTCCCGAAGATCCTCGTCAATGCCTTTGTAGGCANTACCAGAAGGGCAGAATGGCCGCTGTGAGCATCTTCAAGCTGCTCGACCGAGTCCCGAAGATCCTCGTCAATGCCTTTGTAGGCAAGAGGCCTGCAGTTGAGCGGTGCAACGGCGAAATCGCCTTTGACCGGGTCGAGTTCAGCTACCCGAGTCGACCGGGGAACAAGGTGCTCAAAGGCATTAGCTTTACGGTCAGCCGCAGGCAGACGGTGGCTCTGGTCGGCAGCAGTGGCTGCGGCAAGAGCACTTCCATTCAGCTGCTGGAGCGATTCTACGATAATGACGACGGAGAGGTGGTATGTACTAAGGAGTGTTGGAAACTCAATGGTTTTTGATGACTAAAACTCCTTTCTGCTACAGAGCATCGATCGTGAGAACATCCTCGGACTGAACATTCCCTGGCTGCGCTCGCAGATTGGCATCGTCTCCCAGGAGCCAATTCTCTTTGACAAGTCCATTCGCGAGAACATCGAATATGGCGACAACAGTCGTCCGGTGGCCATGGACGAGGTGGTGCGGGCCGCTCAGCAGGCCAACATTCACGGATTCATTCAGTCGCTGCCCGGTGGCTACGAGACATCGGTCGGAGAGAAGGGCGTCCAGCTGTCCGGTGGGCAGAAGCAGCGGTAAAAGAAAAGAGGGAGAGGTTTTTTTGAGGAAAGCTAAACTGCCACTTCTTTCATTATAGAATCGCCATCGCTCGGGCTCTCATTCGCAACCCAGCCATTCTGTTGCTGGATGAGGCGACCTCCGCTCTCGACTCCGAGTCAGAGAAGGTGGTGCAGGAGGCGCTGGACGAGGCGCGAGCCGGTCGCACCTGCATCATCATCGCCCATCGATTGAGCACTATTCAGAACGTCGACAAGATAGTGGTCATGTCCAATGGGCTGATTGTAGAGGAGGGGACGCACGAACATTTGATGGAACGAAAAGGCAACTACTACCAGATGTACATGACGCAGATTGGCGCATAGAGAGGACCACACACACCCAAATACACACACCCAAATACACCCACCGATCATCATCAAACTACCCATCCAACTTTCATCATCATGTTTAGCCGATAACTAATTGAATATCTTATTTTTTGTGTGCATTTTTTCTAAATTGCTATTGTTAACAAATATAGTGTAGTTCAAATAAATTTAATTCACTATCAATGCTTTTTACATCTTGAGAACTCTGACCAACACGTAAAGACAATGCCACTGGTGAGCATGAACAACGATAAAATTTCGACGATAAAAAACGATAAAAACAGTCAAATTGTATCACAGAAGTACAGGTGTTTCAGAGTGTGCTCACATCAGGCAACCAGTTTGTTGTTGTTTTGTTGTTTTCTCCTGATTTTTGAATTTTTACAGCATTTTTATTTTTAAATTCCAATTGATTTGCAATGACCCAAGTTGAAAACACCATCTTGAGATCTGAAAAAACTACTTTTTTCTTTTGAGAAGTTTTTGCAGTTTAATTAAAATAAAGTTTTTTGCAATTTAAATATTATCAAGTCAATAAAGGAAATAATCGTTTCATTCAGCAATTAATTCTTCAATTAGAGAGCATTTTCTTAAGTGATCAACAAATTCTCATGATCAGTTTTATTATAGACTAATTAAAAGTAGGCCTACATGTTTGGTTTAGCTGAAAGTTTCCGGTTGTATTTAAATTGACTCACCAGCAACTCTAATAGCTGTCAGTCATGACAAGGCAATTGAAACAACTGCAATTAGGCAATTTTAATTTAATGAGCCATTGCTCACCGACGACACTTTACACGATTGAGTATATAAAGGCGCCGTCAAACACATTTTCCTTTATCATAACCGCAAAACACTTTAAACAAAAAGATGGCCACAAACCGAAAATTTGCCCTGCTGTTCATCTGCATTTGTCTGGTGCTTTTAACCGTAACGGAAGCAAGTAGAAGAACTGGCTCGATGATCCTCGTTGGACATCCTGGAGGAGGTGGCGGCGGTGGCGGTGGCGGTGGAGGTGGCGGTGGAAATGAAATGAGAAATCTCTTGTTGGCGATGCTTTTTCTCATGATATAAAATGCCGATCACTTTTTACTTCAAAATTTTTTCAGCAAAAGTGATATTTGCTTCCAACATTCAATCGTTATTAACAACACCAAACAAAAATTACTACTTTCTATGTAAATTTTATTACAATAAAAACATAATAGTTTAGCCCCCCTCCCGAATAGCTTCATTTTCCGGTAACACCTTTAAAGTGGTGAACTTCGCTCTTCTTTGTCTTGCTAGACGCCGCATTGCTTCTACGTGTAGAGGTTTCATTCATGACCGCCTTTGGTCCACATGTCCAGACGTAGATGCAAGCAACAGTGACAATCACTATGAGGATGGCAAGCATCGGGTAGACGATGGCGGCGACAATAACGCTGCCAGCTGTGGGAAAGAGAGTAATGAGAGCATGTCATCACAACCTGGTCTCTCAGTACCTTCAGTAGCAAATGTGTTATTCCTGGTTTTGTTATCCGAAGTCAGAGAGCCATTGGCAGAAGTTGTCAGCAGGGTTGACATTTCACAGAAAACAAAGGGAAGACACAAATTGACAAGAAACCACAACATGGTGAAAATTGTGATCAAATTGGCAGCGTCATTCAGGTTAAAAAGTTTAAAAACAATCATTGTTAGAACTTTTTTTCAAATTGTTCAAATTTCATTTAATAAAATCTGTCTCGATAACCGCAAGTAAAAACAAAAACACAATGAGCAAATCTTCAAAAAAATCTACTTCGTCGAAAGTTATTAGCGCCACTGCAGCTAAAACACCTCGCGAAGTCAAATGCATGATCGGGCAATGTAAGCCTGCTTTGCCTTCAAGATCAATGTACCTGTTCAAGCCATCTGCTATTCTGATTGATCTCATCAACATAGCCACTGATGCCAACTTTCTTGACACTGTAAAAAACAAAGATGGAACTTTACTGACTTCAACTAACACTTTTTTCCTTTTATAGGTTTTGGTCAAGTATATCAACAACAAGGTTTGCATTGCAAGTCAGTGGAACCAAGTGACTGCAGTCTATGCTGACGTGGCAGTGACGCTTGGAAAATGGCACACCGAAGGAATTTGCCTGTATGCTTGCAGTAGAACCTCAAAAGAAGTTACCAAGTGCATTTTCTCCAAGACCACACATGGAAACATCAGTGCCTTGTTTACGGACTTTTTTGATGAAAACTCAGTTGGTTCGCTGAACTGCAGTGAAGCGTTTCGCCACCTGGCCACCACTCACATTCACTGCTCGCCGGCAAACATTGTTTTCCTGGGCACCAATGTCACTGAGGTTCAGGCGGCCAAGGATGCGGGCTATCGAGCACTGGTCGTGAAGAAGACTGCGCCAGATGTGGCCATGGTCAAGAAACGAGACGATATGCCCAGCATAGCTTCAGTTGCTGATCTGCAACTTCGAGCTGAAAGTGCAGTCCCTCCTGCAGCTCCTGTTATAGTTTGCAGTCCTCATCACTACCATGAGCAGGCGTCACCGCCCAAAGTAGTGCACCTAAAGGCAGTGAACACTCATCACGTCAGCAGTGAAAAGACTAGAACAAAGAGGATTGCAATTCGCGTTGAGGCAGTGCCGCCAAAGTCTGCGGCACAACCGCCAGTGGTTTGCTGCCATTCCGCTCAACCACAACAAACAACAAAACCGCACTCAACCCAGGCAATCAAGATCAAGATTGTTCCCAATTTGAAATCACGCGCCTACTCTTCGGGCAGAAGGTCCGCTAGCAGATCAAAGTCAAAGTCTTCCAAATCAGGATCGGCTTCAAGGCGGTACAGCAGCAAGCCTGATTCGTCATCTTCCTCCTCCTCTTCAAATGAATCTTCAGGCAGCTCTGCTTCAGCTAATCCTTCATCAAGTGGCTCATCGAGTAGTGGCTCATCAACTAGCGGTTCATCGACCAGTGGCAGCTCTAGTACTTCGGGTAGCAGCAACAGCAGCTCAGCATCAGGCAGTTCAGTGGCAGCTCCCTCCGGCGCAACTATGCTCAACAACTTGATATACGATCATTCTTCTTCACAAAACAGCAACTCCAGCAGAAGCAGCAACAGCGGCAGCAGCAGCAGCCAAAGTAAGTAAAATCCATCTCATCTGTTACTTCATATGATTTTACAATAGGAAAAATTACATTGATTCAAAACTAGTTGTAGTAGTTGCTTTAACTTTATTTAGTGTCTACAGTTTCTTCAAAGTTTTCATCGCTTACAATTTGATAGTTCTTGTCTTTGTAAGTGTGTATATTTTCTGCCCTGACCGCCCCGAGGTGGCGATAAAACTTGAGAACGACCGGCGCTAGTGGTTCAATTTGGCCTTCTTCCACCAGTTCATTGTGGTACTGCTCGTGAAGGTCAAAGTCAGTAAGGTGTCTGTCCTGCGGTCTGAATCCCAGTGCTCTGCGTTTGGCAAATTCTTCGCTGACTCTGGCAATCATCACATCTTTTGGCGGAAGTTGCACTTCACCCAAAACATGCTTTACAAAAAAGATAACTTGCTGGTGAAAGAGAGGAAATGGAAGCACTCTAATGAGCACTGACATCAGCGCCATAGAGGGCTGCTCAATGTTGATCAGATGGCGGTACAGTCCTGCAATTGTCTGGTCATCATTGACACTCAGACCACATGACTTACTGTCAAGGTATGGCAAGTTAAACAGATATCCTGTTGCAAAAATAACAGAATCTATGGAAAATTCAACTGGCGCATTACCATCTATTGATATTGCTATTGATTTGTCCTTGAAAGCGAGCACCTCTCCATTTATCTGCTGCACATTTGCAGGCATGCCTTTGAAGGGCGTCCGGCGATTTAGTAAAATAACTTGTTCAGCGACAGTGGCCACCTCACCGCAAATATCTAGACCACTGGGACCGGCACCAATGATAGCCACCTTCTGACCGGTAAAAGGTTCACGATGTCGGTAGTAATGTGAATGGATAGCAGTTCCAGTGAATTGGTCGATTGAATCAATGGATGGCATCTTTGGAATGCAGTACCGACCAGGCGCAAGAAATATCACGTCAAATTGTTTAGTTACAGTTGAGCAGTTTTTCAGATCACGTAATGTGACAATCCATTTCGCGACACTCTCATTTCGTGTTACCTTCTCCAGGTGATGCTCAAAGTGAATGTACGGCAGCAGGTGAAAGTGGGCCGCGTAGTTGTGCAAGTACTTCAGCACTTCAGTGTGGTGAACGTACGACCTTGTCGAGGCAACTTTAAAGTCAGGAAAGCACATCAGCTCCAGTGGCAGATTCGTTCTGTTTTAAAAAGTGAGAAAGTTAAGTCATTTGTTATCATTGCGCAATGCAGATGAGCCTACTTCATGTCTCGGTACATGCTCGAGTGAACCGGCAGACCATTGCTGTCATTGGTGGTTTCTTCGTTGTAGTTCCACGTTCCGCCAATTTTTTCAGTCTGCTCAAAACACTCCACCAAACTGAAGGCCGAAGGTCCTCGGGCCAGACAGTGGCGCAGGGCACACAAGCCGGCAGCCCCGGCGCCGATGATGCACACTGACTTGCCCATCATTTCAGGCTGCTGATGCTTCTGTTCTGCCAAACAACAAGTGTTGTGAGCAAGTGTGTTGTTTGTGTGTTTTCTGTTTTCTGTACAGCCTGCAGGAGAGGATCAGAGGCATAGCAGATGATAGTGAGACTGGCGGTGTGGTGTTAGTGAACGACGTTGTTCTGATGCATGTACAAAGAGGAGGAACAGGGAAAGCAGAGTGTCTGTGTGTGTGTGCTGTACGAACGGCCGATAAGTGTCAGTGTCTCAAGAGGAAAGCTCACCATCACAGTTTTTTTCAATTATAATTGTAGTTTTTATTGTTCTGTCTTGTGCCGATAACCGACACAGGAGGAGCTCTCACTCTTTCTCATCACCTCTTGGGAGCCTTGCATTGAGTTGCCTTCCACTGGCAAGCACTCTTTGATTTGCTTGTTGAACTTTTCATTTTAATGTCCTTCTTGAAGTTGTTTGCCAGCTTGGTCACTTTCCGCTGAACGCCGCTGTTTCGCTTGTTTGATTTTGTCGTTCTTGATTGCTCCAAGGCCGCCGATGCCGCCGCCGGTTTGCCCTTCTTACCCTTCTCACTGGTGCCTGAAGGTGAACTGGCGGACAGGCTTTCCGGTTGCCCTGGCGTCATGCCCATTTGCGTTCTAATGGTAACCTCCTTTTGCAGAGAAGAGTTCTTGTCCGTTTTTATGCTCGGCAGCTCTACAGTAGAGGACAGATAAGAAGGCAGGCAAAACTTGGTCTTGTTCTTTGAAGGCGTCGGTCGATTGACAATCTTGGCCGATCCTTTGCCAGGCGTAGTCTTGCGACCAGCTGAAGTTTTGCCCTTTGGGGATCTCCAAGATTTCCACGAGGACGTCTTTGCCTTTCCCTGTTGTTGTCCTTTCATATTGGACAGTCTTTTGGGGCTAAAGTTGCTTCGCTTATTTGGCGTACATCTATCGTTGCTGTCGGGTTCATCGCTGTTTTTACAGCAAGTTGCGTATACGATGTAGACGACTAAGCCAAGAAAAACGACTCCTAGTACAACTAGGCAGGTGATTAAAAAGACGCCAACTGGAGTTTCTGAAAAAGTCAATTTAAAAAATGTTGTGAAAACGTGTCAGTATTGCAACTAGTGCCATACCGGTGGCAGTAGCTAGAGCGATCATCATTGGAATGGTCTCAAAAACAGGTGTAATAGAATGCACAGGTAAAGAGTAAACGGGTGCTTTTATTTTTAACGTGGTAACAATGTAATAATGCAAGTGACAAATTGTTGTGCTGTGCTGTGCAAACAACTAGTAATCGAGCTATTAGTGTTCTATTTTGGAGCGTAGAATCTTTCAAATCGAATCAAGGACTGCAGCGAAGAGGGCACAGCCATGCAAGTGACCAAGTGGTCGTTGAAGTTGTTGAAATACAGCTGGCCACAGTACAGACAGTTCTGGAAAGTGGGCATACTGGGCATACCACCTCCTGCACTGGTGACCATGTTCGCAACACAGGGAATGGCTGTCCTCATGATGGTTGATGGCTGGGTCGGCGTACAGTGGTGAACAGTCAGCTTGTGCTTGCTGGTAAACATCAGCTGACAGTGGGTACACTGCAGTGGAACCCAGTGCTGACGACGATGCGACTCGAGCTGCTTCGAGGTGGGAAAGACCTTGGCGCAGAGGCGACACCCGAAACCACTCTGGTGTTTCTCCAGGTGCTTTAGCCAGGACTTTCGATACCGAAAGATTTCGCCGCAAGTAGAGCAGATAAAACGACTTAGGTAGTGTTTGGAATTTTTTGAATAGGTAATTTCATTTTGTTGCAGCTGCAGAGAGTTGTTGTTGAAAAAGTGGTTTAGTGGAGGGGAAATTGATTCAGCGGAGTCACTCGGTGAAGGTGTTCTTGAACTGTTCCAGTTGGCAAAAGGCATCTCCAACTTTGCTTTTGTCTTTATTGAAAATAAAGCCATAATTTTAAACTGCAAACAAATAGAACTGAATTAGTTTAATTTTGTTTTGTAGTCGTCGACTAAAAGTTTGGGTTTTCTTTTCTTTTCTCTAAAAATAAAAAACAGTCAAAAAGAAGACTATTCCTCTCACTTATGAATTAGCACTAAAATTGATTTCTTTATACCAAACATAAAGAATTTTAAATTACATTTAAGAAAAATATTAGTGTTAGAAAAGACTTTTTTGTTATTGATCAGCTTTTTAGTGGAAAACAAAAAATGTCATATTAAAAACAAGAAAAACCTATTTTTAAGGTTATATTTCAACATTACGGCAAAACTGTTGTTCACAAATGAAAACCATTAATAAAGTTCTTTTGTATATGCAAAGGTAATGTTTATTGTTATTTGCTGAAGTTTTGAGTTCAAAAAGTGTGCGTGTGTGTTTAGTTTGAAAAACAAGTAGAAAAATATAAAAAAGTGCAATAAAGCGGAAACCATTCTTGTTTCATTTTAAGTAATAACATTGTTGAATTATTTACAGTTACATAAACTTTTGACTTTTTCAGTACAAAAAAGCCAGTTAGTAAAAATTTTACTGTTTACTTAAAACAATATGTTTTAAATTGCTAAATGATATTGTTTGAAGGTTGCTAATTTAAATTTTAATTTCAACAGTGCAAACAACATGGTCAAATTGTACAAGTAATTTTTGAACAATTATAATTATTCAAAAGCATAATTGCAAAGTTGCATAATGTAGATTCAAATGCCAGTATCATCATTATTGATCGACTTGTAGTTTTATTTTAGTTACAAAATTTTTGAAGTTGTATGTATGAGTAGTAGCGATTTATCAATACTAAATTTTTTTGCTGTACAAGAAAACAATAAAATTAATTTTAAAAAAATTTATGTAAAAATGGTTTATCATTTGGGCATTTGCAATATTCTTGGAATTGTCCCATCTTCAATGAAACGCTTTTTTAAGCGATTGTAACCACGACTTTGATTTTTAGCAACATTCTATAAGTTAGGTGCACATAAATAAAAGTCACACAAAAAAATTGAAAGTAAACTTACCAAAAAATACTGGCCTTTGCCAGTATCATGCGCCTCTTGGTACCACATTAGCCCGAAAAAGGTGCCACCAATGTAAGAGCCCAGGGTATAAATTTTTGCCTCGTCAATCATATGCTCTAAGGAGTTTTCTTTTTTATCTAAAAATTCCGTTCCAAAAATTTGTGCACATTTTTCTCGATATTCATTTAAAAAGAGAGCCATATCTTCATCACTTGGAAAGCCTTCATTGGCAAAATCTTCTCTGTGACGGTAGTTGGAAAAATAATCTCCAAAATCAACACCTCTATTGTTCATGCTAGTGGCATCAAAATCGATGAGATAGATCTTTTCCAGTTGATCTTTACTGTCTTTTACAACTAGCCGATTGCCACGGTTAAAGTCTGAATGAGCAAAAACAATGGGCGAATCTAGGCGTTCTTTGAGATTTTGAACGTAGACTATTTCACTATGATAATCAATTTTAGCAAACTCGTCATCTGAAATTATTTGTTGAGAGTATTAAAAGATGGAAGCAGTACTAGTAAAAAACTTACAGTATTGTTCTTTAATTTCGGGGTGATTTTCCAATGCCTTCAAATACTTTTGGCCTGTTGCTTCAGTGTTGCCCCAACCGTAAATGTGTTTTCTTCTGTTGAAAAAATCTTCATAGCTTTTTTGTGATGTTTTGTAAGCATTATTTGAAATGGGTGCATCAAGGGAATGGAATTTTGCAAGAATTCTCGCTAAACACTTTACCACTTCTGGATTATCATCATTTTCAAAAGTATAAATTCGGCTTTTAATGTACTCATGTACATAACACTTGCTGTTAGCAAAAAGGAGTTTAGGCGATATTTGATTGATGGAAAGAACAGTGTTGACAGCAACAATGTCTGCTAGTGAAAGTCCGTTATCGGTGATACCATTGTCTCCAAAAGTTAAAAATTTGACAACCACACCTTCACAATCCTTAGGTGAGCTAAAATTCAATTTTGATTTTGCAGTTTCAGTTAGTTGACAGCAGCACAAGTTACTGTCATTGCCGAGACTATGGTGAAAAAAAAGTTTATAAATTTTAACAATATCAACAATAAAAACATACTCAAATCTTTTAACAGTAAAGTCATCTTTCGTTACTTTGGACCAGATGTTTAATTGATTGAATTCACCAAAAACCTCTAATAGCGCATCTATCAATTGAAGCGATATTGAAGATCGTTGCTCGAGAAGTTCAGCCATTTTTTAAATATCTGGTTAGTACATTAGAGCAACAAATTCTGCTTTTTATAATCAACGATAAAAAAGAAAATTGACAAAACACACCGACCAAGTGAAAATCGTAAATCTAACGTTTCAGGGTGATTGTACAGCAATCACATGGAGGCTGTGCAAATGTACTAACATTGCATCTGTTTGTAGAAATAAACTGTACACTACATTAGCAACCATCAATTATGATAATCATTATCTATGCATCTCAGATTACCGAATTTGCAAAAGCAGTGGCGCTACCTGGTTTTGTGTGATTGTGTGATCGCATCACCTGGGCACAGACAATGAGATTTCCGTTTCACAATAGAAAACTGAGCGCAAATATTGCGTTTTTCTTTGCCTTTTTACCGTTTTATTCCATTTGTGTTTCTCATAGCAGATGCTAAGGAATCGCCTAATCAACATTAGGGCTAATGGGGCCAGTCGCAGTGATACGGCGCTGAAATGGGCTTCGGCAGACACATCTTAAGTTGCTCGCAACCTTCCGGTGCCCAGTTCATCGCCGCTCGGTCGCAGATGTTCAGCACTGGCACGCCCGGCTGCATCTCCGCCTGGTGCTGCTCTGCGATAGCGTCCAGCTGCCTCTTTGCCCACTTGTACTCTGCCGTCCATCGGGGAATCGGGTACCGCTCGCCGGGGTCGCGAACCAGGTGAAAAAGCACGGGCGCCTTTTGGTGGGGCGTCAGTCGGTGTGTGGTGACGTTAGCCACTGCACTGCCCGGACAGTAGTCGATGCCACGACGGAACTCCTCGATTGGATTGGTGAACGTCCAGTAGTGCGCCTTGTAGGGACCATTTCGAACTGCCATCAGCGTGTCTCCTCGGTAGAAGAACATTGACGAGTTGAGCTGTGCCCCTTCGCCACTCTCACTTCTATTGGCAAAGAGCACCGGCCCGAGGTCATTTGAGTCGTAGGTTCGATTGAGAGGCATCTCCAGCCCCGCCAAGTTGACTATTGTCCGAAAGAGGTCCATCTGCGAGGCCACCTGAGCGGTGCGAGTGTCGGGCGCAATGCGACTTGGCCACCAAGCAATTGCCGGCTCCCTGAAACCGCCCTCAAATGTGGTCTGCTTGCCACAGAGCAGCGGCCCATTGCTGCCGGCGTCGGTCTTGCTGACCAGAGCGGCGCCATTGTCGCTGGTGAAGAAGACGAGGGTGTTCTGCGCCAGGCGAGGGTCACCTCGTATCACGTCCATAATACGCCCCACCGAGTGGTCCACCTCGACGAGGGCGTCCCCGTATGAGCTGGCCTTGCTGCTGCTGCCCGCAAAGGCGGCCGAGCGGAAAGTGGGCGCGTGCAGTGAGTCCGGCGTCCAGTAGAGGAAGAACGGCTGACAGGACCTGGAAGCGGACTGTCTGCGGATAAAGTCAATCGCCTCCTCAGTGTAGAGCTGCGTCAGATTGGACAGCTGACGACGCCGGTCAATGGCGAACTCCTTTGACTCAAAGAGGCGCCCCACCATGCGCTGGTCGCGAAAGACCGGAACATTGGGCGTTTTCACGTCATCGTACGGGCCAAAGTGGACGTTCGGTGTGCCGAAGTACTCGTGAAAGCCGCGAGCCACTGGATGGTACTCAGGTCGACTGTGCCCTAGGTGCCACTTGCCGATGATCTTGTTGCGGTAGCCGGCCTAAATTGAAACAAGAGAAGTTAATTTTTAAAAAACGGCAACAAAATAAATCATCATACCCAAGCTAACAGCTCTGAAATGAGAATCTCCGAGGTGGCAATGCCACCGAGCATCTCCTGAGGCACATATGAGTTCCTCGCTTTGACATTGGTCGTGTAGAAGCCATTTCGAATTGGCAGACGACCGGTCAACAGCGACGCCCTCGAGGGCGAACAAAGCGGACTGGCGGCGTAGAAGTCTGTCAGCAACATGCCCTCTCGAGCCATCTGATCGAGTCGCACCGTCTCCCGACTGGGATCACCATTCAAGCCCAGGTCGCCCCAGCCCATGTCATCCATCAGCATGATGATAATGTTCGGTCGACTTTGGTTGCATTGTTGGTTTGTCTCTTCAAGGCTTTCGTCATCGGCGAGCGGCAACAGTATCGGACAGCACGTGAAGAGGACAAAAGTCACAAACAGAAGTCTAAAAACAAACATTCGGTAAGTAGTGTGAAGGACAAACCGTCGAAAGTGTTGTTTGTGTGTGTTTTTGCAGCTCAGATGATAATCAGTTCCCCGTCTTTGGCCAATTTAGCTGCAGCATTCAGGGCAAAACGAGTTTTTTCAAAGTGAGCCTCACCAGTGGTGAGTTCTTCTTGGGTGGTCAGTGGTAAGGCGAAAAAGTGTTTGTGTGCTCCGAGCAACCTGAATAGCAGAGTACCACCACCACCGCCAGTCACATCGAATCACACAAATCACCATCACTTTTGAAGTCTTCTTTCTTCCTGCATCGGCTGCTGCCGAATGGACCGTCTGCCTGCAGTAGTGCCGTTCTTCTCCTTTCCTCCTCTGCAAACATTTGCAAAAGTGTTAGTGTGTGGGCATTTCATTTGAATCCGTATCTAATCAACTCGAAGATATTTCTGCACGCTCTCTCCAAGAAACGGGGATTTCAAATTGTTTTTTGTTTTCGGGAACGTCGTCTTTGAACTGCCCACTTGAGCCACGTGATCGAGCACATGACAATATTTGTTTGCAAAATAATCTTGACTTTTGGAACTTTGGATTCCGTATCTCATCATTGTCACCATGGCTTCTTTCCGTCGACCCGAGCACAAGGCACCGCCTGAAATTGTAAGTACTATTGGGTGAGATAGGGTAGAAAAAATTTTCATTTTTTATGATCTTTTTCTAGTTCTACAATGACACAGAAGCCAAGAAATATACGCAAAAGTAAGTAATTTGAATGAATTTTTTTACGAGAATTCTGACCTTTTTGTGCTCCAGTTCGCGTATTATGGAAATTCAAGCTCAGATGACGGAACGCGCAATGGAGTTGCTCGCTCTGCCCGATGATGGACCAAAGTATCTGCTCGATTTAGGGTAAGTAAAGAAGTTTTTGTCTGGTGGACACACAACTAATGATTTGCTCTTCCAGTTGCGGCTCTGGTCTCAGTGGTCAGGAGATTGAGGAAGCAGGTCACTACTGGGTGGGCGTGGACATCAGTCCGTCAATGTTGGACATTTGCCTTGAGCGTGAAACTGAAACCGGCGATGTCCTGCAACTTGATCTCGGCCAGGGAATGCCCTTCCGGGCGGGCACCTTTGACGGGGCCATCTCCATCTCCGCCCTTCAGTGGCTTTGCAACGTCGACAAGACCGGTCACAAGCCGGCAAAGCGACTGTACAAGCTCTTCTCCACACTGTACGCCTGTCTCTCTCGCGGCTCAAAGGCGGTCTTTCAGTTCTACCCGGAGAACAGTGACCAGTGCCAGTTGATCACATCGCAGGCGATGCGCGCCGGCTTCTACGGCGGTCTGGTGGTCGACTTTCCGAACAGCGCCAAGGCAAAGAAGGTTTTTCTTGTGCTCTTCACTGGAGGCGTGCCACAGTCGATGCCAAAGGCGCTCGGTGAAGAGGACCAGGTGGCTGAGCAGAGCACCATTGACTTTAACAACAAGCGAGATCGTGTCAGAGCACTTCGAAACAGCAAGGCGCCCGTCACTGCACGAGAGTGGATTCAAAAGAAGAAAGACCGATACCGGCGACAGGGCAAGGAGGTGCGACCTGATACGAAGTACACCGGCAGAAAACGTAGTGGTCGGTTTTGAGATTTCTTTTGTTCTTCATGTGATATACTTTCAACTTTAATTACTTCGTTCAACAAAGTTTTGATATTATGTACAGTGAAAGGAATGATGCTTTGTAAACTTGTGACATCTGAAGCGATGTATTTAGTTCTCAAGGAAAGCAACATATTCGGTGAGCTTAGTCATCAGATGATCAAATGAGCCAGATGCTGATTCATCAGCGGGCGAAAGCTTGGCTGGAAAAATGTAGCCCGTTTCAGCTTCGTATCTCCAGCCCATGGAAGTAACTTTAGCAACAGTTTCCTCATCTGTGTATCCAAGGAGAATCGCCATTTCCTTCATTCGAATAGAGCTGTAGGCTTTAGAAATCAAGTTCAGCATTCTTTCCTGCGTTGACACTATTTAACAAATATTTTGTTAGCAATTATTGTTTGAGCAAAACAAAAGGTATTTACATTTAATGCAGTTCATAATGTTTTTGAGGTGTCCAGGCCACTCATACTGATCGACTAAAGCGTAAATATCGTCCAGTTGTCGCTGAAAAAGCTTTACGCCAACGCTCCATACCGCTTGAATATCAGCGTTGCCTACTTTGATATCATCCGGCATACGCTTCCACAACAGCTTTGCATTCGGTCTAGAAGAGAGTGAAGAACAAAATGTTAATTGAATGAACAAAATTTGAAATCGTCAAGTCATACAAATCATTGATCAGCAGGTAGATGGCCAGTAGTTGACCGTACACTTGCGGTGAAGTAGAGCCATTCAGTGCCGTATCCAGCTCTTGTCGTTCCAAGTTGGGCACCAAGTTTTTGTAGTCGGCTATCTTGTCCATGATGAGGGTGAAGATGGGGAGAATACTGAACGAGACCAGAAAAGTTATCGCGATAAAACTTCAGCCGCTGGCCGATCAAAACAATGCCGTAAATCGGCTATTCAAAAACGACGTAGCCACTTCACTCTTCAAATCTCCCAATCAGGTGGCAGCATTGCAGTCAAATGGAAGCTTTTAAAATCGAATTGCCAGCTCGGACAAAAAAAATGAGCTTTGCGAATGTTCAGTCACGATGTATCAGTCAGTTGGCCAAGAAGAAGAAGACAATCGACAACAAATTAGTCTGTGCACGAAACCATTGGCACGTGCTGGCAATTAGAGAGGAAGAAAGTAAAGTCGCTCAGTGGCCTTCAAAAGCCCGAAGCACACACTGAAGAAGCTCTATTTTCAACTCTGCTTTGACTTCCCGGAAAGGCAACCAAGCACCAGTGTGTGTTGTTCTCTGGCTGGCGAACTGGCCCTGAACTAGTCCAATTAGTACTAATCAAGTGACGCTCCTAATTGCCAGACGAGCATCAGAAGACAAAAACAGCAGCAGAAGTAGCTCTATTTATAGAGCAAGCAAAAGTGCAGACCATAAGACAAGAGTTGGCCATTGCTGTTGGCACTGCACTGGCACTCGATGGATGGATCGTCCCGAGTCAGTCTTGCAAACGTCCGTCCGACCGATCGTGTTAGTGCCCTTGTCCGCTGTTAGTTAACCTAACTAACTAACTCACCCCACCACCACTACTGCCACCACTGCTGATGAGCTTTAATTGTCCTGTTTATGGGCACTTACATGGGCAGTTGATGTCACTGGCGAGGTGATCTATAGGCTTAGGGCCAGCTCGACCACGTCGAAGGCCCATTCGCTTGTCAGTGCACACATTGCACCTCATCTGCGGGCTATTTTCGGGGACAAGAACAGGACATGAATGGGTAGATGAATGGCATTGGCCATGGCAATGGTGATGGTGATGTTGCCACACAACAGTACTCAGCAGTCTCAGCAGTTCAGCGCACTGACGAGATTTGAGGCGATCGAATTGCCTCGATTTGTGTGCTTACTCTCTCCTCTGTTGGCTCTTCAGTGTTCCCTCCACTTCATACTGCATTCCTCCCTCTCTCTTCTCTCCTCTACCACGGCCACTGTTAATTAATTTGGAGCAGCATTGTGGACTTTAAAGAGAAGAGCACCCGACAACAATTCATGCCTCTTTGTGCAGCTGTGCCCCGTGCTTTAAGGGGAGCCATTTTTGAGGGAAAGTGGGCTTCCCTGCGTTCACA